CTCTCTCTCTCTCTCTCTCTCTCTCTCTCTCTCTCTCCTCTCTCTCTCTCTCTCTCTCTCTCTCTCTCTTCTCTCTCTCTCTCTCTCTCTCTCTCTCTCTTCTCTCTCTCTCTCGTCTCTCTCTCTCTCTCTCTCTCTCTCTCTCTCCTCTCTCTCCTCTCTCCTCTCTCTCTCTTCTCTCTCTCTCTCTCTCTCTCTCTCTCTCTCTCTCTCTCTCTCTCTCTCTCTCTCTCTCTCTCGTGCGTGCGTGTTAGTGTGCGCATATGTAGTAGGTGGTTGTTTATGTGTATGTGTACGTCCTGTGTGTATGTGCATGTGTATACGCCTATGTGTACGTACATGTGCATATGTATGTATTTGTGTGTATACGAATGGGTAAGTGTATCTGCATGTGTATATATATGTACGTATGTGACTATGTGTATGTATAAGTATGTGTGTGCCTGTCGTTCCCCTTGCTCTTGATCCCAGTTACCGAAGGCGGGTGTGATCGCTACATCTAGGTTGATTAAGAGCGGGGTGTGAGGGCCAGGGAGGAGGGGAAGGAGGAAGGAAGAGGGTGAAAGAAGGAGAAGAGGAGAGGAGGAAAGGAGGATGAGGAGGTGGAGGAGGAAAGAGGGAAGGAAGGAGGAAGAGGAGGTGAGGAAAGGAGGAAGAGGAGGTGGAGGAAAGGAGGAAGAAGGGGGGGGAAGGAAAGGAGGAAGAGGAGGTGGAAGGAAAGGAGGAAGAGGAGGTGGAGGAAAGGAGGAAGAGGAGGTGAAGGAAGGAGGAAGAGGAGAGCAGTGGCGAGGAAGGAAAGAGGGAGAGGAGTAGGACGAAGGAAACAAGAGGATGATAGCTGAGAAGGGAAGAGAGGAGAGGAGGAAGAGGAGAGGAAACGCAAGAATAAGGATCTGGAAGAGAAGAGGAGAAAAGAGAAGGAAGAGGAGAAGAAACGCAAGAATAAGGGTCTGGAAGAAAAAAAGAGAAGAGAGGAAACAAACGGGTAACAACAGAGAAGGGAAGAAAGGCGAAAAGAGGATAAGGAAATGCAAGCATAATGACATAGAAGGGAAGAGGAGAAAGAAGGAGGAATAGAGGAGAGGAAACAAGGGGATTATAGTAGGAAAATAGAAAAAAGGAAGAGAAAGTGTAATCTGCTGAAGATTAGTTTGAATATCTTATCTTAGGCTCACACGCGAGTCTTCTGGAACAAGATAGAGATTACTTTACGAACAAATTGAAGAAAACTTATTCAGGGGCACACGTACGTACACACATACATACATATATATAACAAATGTATATAAACATATATATAACACATCTATACATACATACATACATACATATATACATCCATCCATCCATCCATCCATACATACATACATACATACATAATGCATGCATACAAGCATACATTCATACGTACATACTTACATATACTCATATACAAGCAGAGAGAGAGAGAGAGAGAGAGAGAGAGAGAGAGAGAGAGAGAGAGAGAGAGAGAGAGAGAGAGAGAGAGAGAGAGAGAGAGAGAGAGAGAGAGAGAGAGAGAGAGAGAGAGAGAGAGAGAGAGAGAGAGAGATAACAGTCATAAAGAAAGAAAGAAACTTTGTGATACAACAAAGAACACACAAAAAAAGAAATGAGAGAGAACATAAACAGAATAAAAGAAGGATATAGAAAGAAAGAAAAGGAGAGAGAGATGAATGCGCGCACCGAATGACACGACCGAGAGGAGTAGGAGTAGCTTAGTCCTCCTTGCTGGGGGGGAGGTAGGCAGGGGAAATGGAGGGGGGAGTGGGGAGAGGAGGGAGGGGGGAGTGGGGGGGGGAGTGGGGAGGGAGAAGGGGAAAGGAGGGAAGGGAGAGGAGGGAGGAGGGAGGGGGGAGAGGAGGGTGGGGGGAGTGGGGAGAGGAGGAGGGGGGCGTGGGAAGAGCGGGGGAGGGGGGAGTGGGAGTGAGAGGGGAAGGGGAGGGCCAGGGGTAGTGGGGAGTGGGGGTGAAAGTATAACGGGAGGGGAGTGGAGTGGGGAGAGGAGGGAGGGGGGAGTTGGGGTAGTGGGGAAGTGGGGGTGGAGTATGAGGGAGAGGGGAGTGGGAGTGGTGGAGCGATGGAGGGGGAGAGGAGATTGAGTGACGAGGGAAGGAGGGAAGTAGAAAGAAAGAGAAGAGAGTAAGAAGAGAAAGAGGAGGAATGACGAATAAGGAGAATGGACGAATAGAAGACTAGTAAGACTAGGAAAGAAGAAGGAAAGTAAAAGAGGAGAAGTTACAAAAGAGAAGATGAGAGGAGAGAGAGAGCAGAAGGGGGGGGGAGGGGGCCACAGCAGGAGAGGTCGCGATATTGCACAACTTGGTATTTCGTTCTGGTAACACTGTCGCCCGCGAGTGGTTGCCATCGCCGTGGTCACGAGGTCACATCCACACCTGCCTGCCTGTGTGCATCGCCGAGCTCGCTTTCCGGAGTGGCGGCGGGAGTTTGGAGAGGGAGGGAGAGAGGACAGGGAAGGGAG